TCTTCGGCTACTCAAATATTTTACGTTTTTGATACTAAATTAACTTCTGAAGTATAATTTTTTATTGTTTTTATATTTTTCAATATATTTATTTTGTTTGTACAAAATAAAAAAATAATTTTTAACGATACAATAGTCTTCGTTAGGCTTAACAACGATGAAAATTCAACGCGAAGCGACACACAACGTAGAAAAATTTCAACACGGGATAGGTTAATATATTTTTTCGTACATAATCGGTTATCCGAAAAATAAGTTATCCGAATGACTCCAGTCCCCAATTGATTCGGATAAACGACGCTCTACTGTATTCGGAATGATGTAATTATCATAATACAAATATTGGTGAATATTAAATTTGTGAATTTAATTTGTGAATTAAAATTGGTGAATTTAAATGCATGCATTTAAATTAATTTTACAAGTGAATGTATTTTCAAGAATAATAATTTATTATAAGTTAGATATTGCGGTAAATTCCAATGGCAATTGATGACACTTCAGTGACTTGTATTATAAATTATTGTATTTTCATACCAAGCATTATATTTCATGTTAGGCAAGTAAAAGTAGAAAATCTCGTTCAATAATAAAAGTAGAGAATTGCAAATAAGAATTGTCTTATATCTTGCCCGTGTCCTTTTCTGTGTCACCGATTTTTATTGTTGTCGATATCAATACAGTAACTTTAATTCTTCAGACAACAAAAAGGTCCTTCGATCAATTGTATAATAGAAATAGGATGTTAGTGACGGTGAATTAGAAATAAAATAAAATTTTCAAAATATTGAGTACTTAAAATGTTTTTTATTTTGCTTCTGGTTATCGACGAGTTACGTAAGAGGAAAGAATTCTTTCGTCGTTTTAAGTTTGTCAAATCAAATTTCACAAAGTTTTTTTACTTCGACGTCATTTGCGCTAATGTAAAATTTGTTAATTTTCAGTAGCAGATCTGAGTTTCAAAAGACCAGAAAATATAGAATGAAGAGCGTTGCCCATCTGAAAGAATAACATTAAGCATGTATAAAAAGACCAAGTACATACAAAATTTCAAAAGGTAAAAAAGTACCTTAACTGGAAACTTTTTCGTAACATTAAAGTAGCCTCTTATTGATATACATAATGAAACTTTCCCAAATCTCTTCATAAAGTTTAGAATCTAAAAGAATAAAATACATTTCGATATTATGCGTTATAATAAATGAAAGATAATCTAAAACTCACTTTCAGTTTTTGTTCGAAAGACAAATCGCATGCAGAAAACCTTCGGATATCTTGAAACGAGGTCTGCATCTGAAAAACACCGAAAATTATTAAATATATTAAAAGCAACTGATCGGTAACTTTGAAACAGAAATGATAAAATACCGTAGACGTTAATGTTGAACCTTCGTAACCCATGATAAGACATACGATTTTAAGTAAAATGACAAACATCAGAACGATGAATCTCATAATAGTGTTTAATTCGGTTAAGATAAATATATAATATAACAGACTTGTTTCTAATAGAACTGTGAAATAAACTGTTACAGAAAATAAACTAAATTTTGTGTTTATTTGATTGACGAAGTTCCAAAATTCGGCATGTTGCATCATTACCTCTTCTAATTTTAAATTTAAATTCGAACTGTTCATATTAAGTAGAATTAAATCGTTTGATAGTTTTTGAAACGCTTTTTTCATAATCAAGTATGAAAATAAAAATAAAAATGAAAAATGAATTATTCCTCCAATAATAAAATTGATCGAAATCCCAAATTCCACGATACAGAAGAGAATGATAAAATCATTTTTGTTAGTTGTATTTAATGCTGGATATGTGACATAGATATTGAAAATTGGCAGTGCACAAGTGAAAGAAAGCAAAATTATTCGCATGATGACACTAATTTTGTGAATAGACTTGTTTAAACCTTCAATTGGCAGATTTCCTGGCTTTATTAATACAATTATCGAATTTATTTTTTTGCTTTTTATAACAGAAAAAGTGAGCGACATAGCCAAAAATATTATTGTAAAGCAGATCCTGACGAAAATGTTATAATCCACTACTGAATACCAGCCAAAGCAAGGTGTGTTTTCTGCTACAGAAGGTATTGTCATGAGAAGTAGTAAGAAAAAGAATTGCCAATTTACGAACTCCGCAAAGGATAAGAACATATGCAGTAATTTATGTTCATAATGAAAGGGTCGACGATAGTAGCATGGAGCGAAAAAGTTCCATCCGTAAATTAGTGCAGTGGACAGGTGAGGCTGCAACAGACAACTAACACACATTTCGTATCTTCGAATCTCAGCCATGGGTAAATTTTCCGAACTAGAAACAGATCTCTGAATTATCTGAAATGGATAAAGAGATAATTGTATGTTACTAAAACTGGAATTGGTAGAAATTATTATTAGTTTGTTACGTCAATTCTTGCAGTTAATTATACAATCGTTCTTACTTAATTAAGAACAAATACATGTAAGTAACGTCCACTTTTGTTAATGTTTCAGGAATATAATGTATGTATTCAGTTAATCGAAATGCATTAATTGGAGTAAGAGTCAAAAATGTAAAAATTCCTTAATTAGACTGAAACTACTTTAGTTAGTATACTTATTTGTTAGTTAATTAACTTTTATAGATTTATTATTATGTAGTGAAAAATTTAATAAATATTACTATATTAGGGTGAATGTTTACTCATTTCTATAAAATATGACAAATAACTAATTAGTTTTCTGCTTTACCTCTGTCTCTTTTAAATATTTGTCTAACGAGTAAATATTCATAATTTTCTTCTCCTTATATATTGTTTTTTTTAAATATTTTTGGAATAGTTTTTCTTACTCTATTTGTAAATATTTTCCTGCATGTTCTGCTAAGTTTTTATTAATATTACCTCGTGCTGGTATTTTTCTGTGTTCAAATTTAATATCGCTTTCCTTATTGGAATTTATTTTTATTTGTATGAATGGTGTTATTTATGTTTACCAGTTTGCTGATTTAGAATGATGTATCGACTGTTTCTTTTTGGGCTGCAATTTAAAAAATTGTAGACTTGTAAATTCCCACTGTGATCGGTTTGACTGTCTTTTTTTAATTTGAAAACGGAGTTAGATAGATGAAAGTCTTGAACAGGTTAGAAGTCGTACGAACAGCAGGTTACAATTAATCATATATAGGAACTTGCGAAGCAAACCGAAGGACGTTATTTTAATTCAAACATTTTCTCCTGAAAGATGTTAGACAGATGACTTTATGTTAAAGGTAAAGTATGATGTACAGGGTCAAGCTATTGTTAATTTGAGGTGAAAAGCGTATGTTTTAAATGAAATAAATTAAAAATATGATTAAAAATTGCAGCCGCCATTGTGACGATATCAGAATAAATAATTGCTCTTTATACATTGTGTTTTTGCTATGTTTTCTAGAATTTTCGTTTTGTAGTTTGGCAGAGAAATGAACAATATTAACGTATTAACAACGTTAGTGTATGATATACTGTTTTCGGATATAAATAAAGTTCTTCCAACCACAGATTAACCTTCCTACTGTCCTATGCTTTCACTTGCATATATTGTCGATCTTCAATATTCTACTATAATTTTAAGAATATTGCATGAAATGTAATAATAAAGGTACGTATATTGAAAACAAAATATATATTAATTGTACTTATCAAATATCTTATTTTCGATGATTGCACGACAATTATGTTATATGTTTTGTGTATAAACGAAGATTGTAATTAATCTATAAATCTTTTATGTTTAAAGGTGTGAAGAGTAGTCTAATCGCATTACATGTGCTGCAGATAAGCGTGTTATACTAAAACATGTCATTTTTGACATCCTTATGTTTTGGAAATCTCTACATCTTGAACACTTTGACGTAGAACCGGACAAATCTCTCCATTATTACACGTATATGATACTGTTTATCTTGAATATTTCTTTACCTTGAATTTGAACACTTTTTCGATTTAAGTTAGATATTTTTAGAAGTTTGCGTTTCTAATGTTTAAGTGTTGAGTTATCTTACACAGATATCCTGTTTTAAGGTCTTCTCAGTTAAAAACCTACAGTGGGAACCTAAAACAAACACATTTTTTAGCAATTAGAGAAATTTTCCACATTTCTGAGCGCCATTGGTTTTAGATATAATTTCAGACATAGAATGCAGACTGAATAGAAGACAGACTGAAAGGGAAGATGAGATGTTTTGTGTTGACTGCCTCCTAGCTTACACTAAACTGGATTGTGAGGAGGAAGAGGGAAATGACTTGCATATTTATATTTGTGTAACTCTTAAATATTATTTCCGTAAAGTTTCTCACTTACAAGAAAATAAATTTGTATTTAAATTACTTATGCAACTAAAACAGGATATTTTAGTGTCTCCGTATATAGGCAAAATACTTTATGGTTTTCTTATTCTACAGTCAATTACAAGTCATAGAATATGGTTGCTATTTAATTGAATGCACATATAAATAGAAGCTAACACGACTGATGTTATGTGATCACACGTCGTAAGTACATCCAGGTGGTGAATTAATTAACCGCTAATAAAATGAGTTACGTGTTACACGACAATTTTTAAAAATTAATTTAAATCTAACACAGTTTAATGCGCCAGACTTGATAAGAATATTTCCTAATATAACTTACAAATTATTGTGAATGTATTTTTGTAATCGGCCTTGTAGTCCGAATGGTTAAGGTGTCAGCCTACTGTTTTGGGGACCCGGAATCCAATCTGGACAAGAAACAACAAAGAATCTTTAGAATGATCTCTTCTGAATGTATTGGATATATTCCCTCATCACTCAACCATTGTGGGCATAACCGAACACGCGATGAACCTAGAGAAGGAAGCCCCCGTAATGCCCTAAAGATAGAGAGTAAAAAAAATTGACACATACGAGTAAGTACAATAGCGGATACAGAAATCTTTAAAGAGGTGCAGAAAGGAATAATATGCCTAAATTCGCCCCTGCATAAGTTTTCGGTTAAAATCAATAAAGATCAGATTGTTTCTTATATATAATTATGTAGAACGCCTACGAGTGAACGAGTGGCTAAAACTATTGCACAAAGATGAGTTTGTGCCTGATCAATTGGCTGGCCGCTTGGCGTTTTCCACATTTTATTCACCTAAATAGGGGCTAATTTCTCATAGAGAGTATTTTCTCTTGCCAAATACTCCAAACTTCGATACCGCCAGGGCCATTTTGGCATCTTTTCTTTGCCAGTTCGTAAAAGTGTTGCATTTCCCTACTCAAAAATCTAACATGTGGAGCATACAATAAAATATATAACTTTCTATATAATTTTATGCTATTCAGATAATAAGAAAAGCTAGAAAATCTAATAATTCAAATGAGATGAATTATCTAACTAGGCCTATTTTATGAAAGACTCAAAAGAAATACAAAATATTTTTAACACGAGAAACAAACCCACTCAATAGCACAAATTGCCGCTTGTGTTTGCATTAACAATTCGTATCTTTTGTTAAACATTTATTTCTTTTTTTACCGCTATATTCACGTAAGTTTAAACAATGCTATGAAAATGGTTCGTGAGTCTAGTGTTAACATTGAAGGCTAACTTGCTGCCATCTGGTGACGACTAGATTATAAATTAATCCGTTCCTCACGCTCTAATTTATACCGTTTACGTCTCGGAAGAGCGTACATCACGGATGAGTTTGAATATTATATAAAGTGTGTATAAACAAACAGTTCACGTAAATATAACAACACAGAGAGAATAATTAGAAAAAACCGTGATAGTAAGTGTACCGTACTTGCATAACTGTATGCAATTATTTTATTTTCAGTAATCAGCGATCAATTATAACATAAATATGTTAATACAGTAGAGCGTCGATTATCCGAAAGTCAATCATCCGAAAGAATTCCAGTTGGCAAATTAAAATTTTCGCCAGTGCTGTGGCGTTGCAATCTTTGGCTATGTCTTCGGATACTCAAATATTTTACGTTTTTGATACTAAATTAAGTTCTGAAGTATAATTTTTTATTGTTTTTATATTTTTCAATATATTTATTNAACACACATTTCGTATCTTCGAATCTCAGCCATGGGTAAATTTTCCGAACTAGAAACAGATCTCTGAATTATCTGAAATGGATAAAGAGATAATTGTATGTTACTAAAACTGGAATTGGTAGAAATTATTATTAGTTTGTTACGTCAATTCTTGCAGTTAATTATACAATCGTTCTTACTTAATTAAGAACAAATACATGTAAGTAACGTCCACTTTTGTTAATGTTTCAGGAATATAATGTATGTATTCAGTTAATCGAAATGCATTAATTGGAGTAAGAGTCAAAAATGTAAAAATTCCTTAATTAGACTGAAACTACTTTAGTTAGTATACTTACTTGTTAGTTAATTAACTTTTATAGATTTATTATTATGTAGTGAAAAATTTAATAAATATTACTATATTAGGGTGAATGTTTACTCATTTCTATAAAATATGACAAATAACTAATTAGTTTTCTGCTTTACCTCTGTCTCTTTTAAATATTTGTCTAACGAGTAAATATTCATAATTTTCTTCTCCTTATATATTGTTTTTTTTAAATATTTTTGGAATAGTTTTTCTTACTCTATTTGTAAATATTTTCCTGCATGTTCTGCTAAGTTTTTATTAATATTACCTCGTGCTGGTATTTTTCTGTGTTCAAATTTAATATCGCTTTCCTTATTGGAATTTATTTTTATTTGTATGAATGGTGTTATTTATGTTTACCAGTTTGCTGATTTAGAATGATGTATCGACTGTTTCTTTTTGGGCTGCAATTTAAAAAATTGTAGACTTGTAAATTCCCACTGTGATCGGTTTGACTGTCTTTTTTTAATTTGAAAACGGAGTTAGATAGATGAAAGTCTTGAACAGGTTAGAAGTCGTACGAACAGCAGGTTACAATTAATCATATATAGGAACTTGCGAAGCAAACCGAAGGACGTTATTTTAATTCAAACATTTTCTCCTGAAAGATGTTAGACAGATGACTTTATGTTAAAGGTAAAGTATGATGTACAGGGTCAAGCTATTGTTAATTTGAGGTGAAAAGCGTATGTTTTAAATGAAATAAATTAAAAATATGATTAAAAATTGCAGCCGCCATTGTGACGATATCAGAATAAATAATTGCTCTTTATACATTGTGTTTTTGCTATGTTTTCTAGAATTTTCGTTTTGTAGTTTGGCAGAGAAATGAACAATATTAACGTATTAACAACGTTAGTGTATGATATACTGTTTTCGGATATAAATAAAGTTCTTCCAACCACAGATTAACCTTCCTACTGTCCTATGCTTTCACTTGCATATATTGTCGATCTTCAATATTCTACTATAATTTTAAGAATATTGCATGAAATGTAATAATAAAGGTACGTATATTGAAAACAAAATATATATTAATTGTACTTATCAAATATCTTATTTTCGATGATTGCACGACAATTATGTTATATGTTTTGTGTATAAACGAAGATTGTAATTAATCTATAAATCTTTTATGTTTAAAGGTGTGAAGAGTAGTCTAATCGCATTACATGTGCTGCAGATAAGCGTGTTATACTAAAACATGTCATTTTTGACATCCTTATGTTTTGGAAATCTCTACATCTTGAACACTTTGACGTAGAACCGGACAAATCTCTCCATTATTACACGTATATGATACTGTTTATCTTGAATATTTCTTTACCTTGAATTTGAACACTTTTTCGATTTAAGTTAGATATTTTTAGAAGTTTGCGTTTCTAATGTTTAAGTGTTGAGTTATCTTACACAGATATCCTGTTTTAAGGTCTTCTCAGTTAAAAACCTACAGTGGGAACCTAAAACAAACACATTTTTTAGCAATTAGAGAAATTTTCCACATTTCTGAGCGCCATTGGTTTTAGATATAATTTCAGACATAGAATGCAGACTGAATAGAAGACAGACTGAAAGGGAAGATGAGATGTTTTGTGTTGACTGCCTCCTAGCTTACACTAAACTGGATTGTGAGGAGGAAGAGGGAAATGACTTGCATATTTATATTTGTGTAACTCTTAAATATTATTTCCGTAAAGTTTCTCACTTACAAGAAAATAAATTTGTATTTAAATTACTTATGCAACTAAAACAGGATATTTTAGTGTCTCCGTATATAGGCAAAATACTTTATGGTTTTCTTATTCTACAGTCAATTACAAGTCATAGAATATGGTTGCTATTTAATTGAATGCACATATAAATAGAAGCTAACACGACTGATGTTATGTGATCACACGTCGTAAGTACATCCAGGTGGTGAATTAATTAACCGCTAATAAAATGAGTTACGTGTTACACGACAATTTTTAAAAATTAATTTAAATCTAACACAGTTTAATGCGCCAGACTTGATAAGAATATTTCCTAATATAACTTACAAATTATTGTGAATGTATTTTTGTAATCGGCCTTGTAGTCCGAATGGTTAAGGTGTCAGCCTACTGTTTTGGGGACCCGGAATCCAATCTGGACAAGAAACAACAAAGAATCTTTAGAATGATCTCTTCTGAATGTATTGGGTATATTCCCTCATCACTCAACCATTGTGGGCATAACCGAACACGCGATGAACCTAGAGAAGGAAGCCCTTCTATGCCTTAAAGATAGAGAGTAAAAAACATTGACACATACGAGTAAGTACAATAGCGGATTCAGAAATCTTTAAAGAGGTGCGGAAAGGAAATAATATGCCTAAATTCCTAATATGCCCTGTATAAGGGTTCGGTTAAAATCAATAAAGATCAGATTGTTTCTTAAATATAATTATGTGGAACGCCTACGAGTGGACGAGTGGCTAAAACTATTGCACACAGATGATTTTGTGTCTGACCAATTGGCTGGCCGCTTGGCGTTTTCCACATTTTATTCACCTAAATAGGGGCTAATTTCTCATAGAGAGTCTTTTCTCTTGCCAAATACTCCAAACTTCGACACCGCCAGGGCCACTTTGGCATCTTTTCTTTGCCAGTTCGTAAAAGTGTTGCATTTCCCTACTCAAAAATCTAACATGTGGAGCATACAATAAAATATATAACTTTCTATATAATTTTATGCTATTCAGATAATAAGAAAAGCTAGAAAATCTAATAATTCAAATGAGATGAATTATCTAACTAGGCCTATTTTATGAAAGACTCAAAAGAAATACAAAATATTTTTAACACGAGAAACAAACCCACTCAATAGCACAAATTGCCGCTTGTGTTTGCATTAACAATTCGTATCTTTTGTTAAACATTTATTTCTTTTTCCCCGCTATATTCACGTAAGTTTAAACAATGCTATGAAAATGGTTCGTGAGTATAGTGTTAACGTTGAAGAAGATTTATTATTATGTAGTGAAAAATTTAATAAATATTACTATATTAGGGTGAATGTTTACTCATTTCTATAAAATATGACAAATAANCGCTTGTGTTTGCATTAACAATTCGTATCTTTTGTTAAACATTTATTTCTTTTTTTACCGCTATATTCACGTAAGTTTAAACAATGCTATGAAAATGGTTCGTGAGTCTAGTGTTAACATTGAAGGCTAACTTGCTGCCATCTGGTGACGACTAGATTATAAATTAATCCGTTCCTCACGCTCTAATTTATACCGTTTACGTCTCGGAAGAGCGTACATCACGGATGAGTTTGAATATTATATAAAGTGTGTATAAACAAACAGTTCACGTAAATATAACAACACAGAAGGAATAATTAGAACAAAATGATAGTAAGTGTACCGTACTTGCATAACTGTATGCAATTATTTTATTTTTACTAATCAGCGATCAATTATATAATATAAATATGTTAAAATTCGGAATGATGTAATTATCATAATACAAATATTGGTGAATATACTAGTACATGCATTTAAATTAATTTTACAAGTGAATGTATTTTGAAGAATAATAATTAATTATAAGTTAGATATTGCAGTAAATTTTAATGGAAATTGATGACACTTCAGTGACTTATATTATAAATTATTGTATTTTCATACCAAGCATTATATTTCATGTTAGGTAAGCAAAAGTAGAAAATCTTGTTCAATAATAAAAGTAGAGAATTGCAAATAAGAATTGTCTTATATCTTGCCCGTGTCCTTTTCTGTGTCACCGATTTTGCGTTTCTAATGTTTAAGTGTTGAGTTATCTTACACAGATATCCTGTTTTAAGGTCTTCTCAGTTAAAAACCTACAGTGGGAACCTAAAACAAACACATTTTTTAGCAATTAGAGAAATTTTCCACATTTCTGAGCGCCATTGGTNACGCTCTACTGTATTCGGAATGATGTAATTATCATAATACAAATATTGGTGAATATTAAATTTGTGAATTTAATTTGTGAATTAAAATTGGTGAATTTAAATGCATGCATTTAAATTAATTTTACAAGTGAATGTATTTTCAAGAATAATAATTTATTATAAGTTAGATATTGCGGTAAATTCCAATGGCAATTGATGACACTTCAGTGACTTGTATTATAAATTATTGTATTTTCATACCAAGCATTATATTTCATGTTAGGCAAGTAAAAGTAGAAAATCTCGTTCAATAATAAAAGTAGAGAATTGCAAATAAGAATTGTCTTATATCTTGCCCGTGTCCTTTTCTGTGTCACCGATTTTTATTGTTGTCGATATCTATACAGTAACTTTAATTCTTCAGACAACAAAAAGGTCTTTCGATCAATTGTATAATAGAAATAGGATGTTAGTGACGGTGAATTAGAAATAAAATAAAATTTTCAAAATATTGAGTACTTAAAATGTTTTTTATTTTGCTTCTGGTTATCGACGAGTTACGTAAGAGGAAAGAATTCTTTCGTCGTTTTAAGTTTGTCAAATCAAATTTCACAAAGTGTTTTTTACTTCGACGTCATTTGCGCTAATGTAAAATTTGTTAATTTTCAGTGGCAGATCTGAGTTTCAAAAGACCAGAAAATATAGAATGAAGAGCGTTGCCCATCTGAAATAATCAAATTAATCATATATAAAAAGACCTATTATATACAAAATTTCAAAAGTTGAAAATGTACCTTAACTGGAAACTTTTTCGTAACATTAAAGTAGCCTCTCATTGATATACATAATGACACTTTTCCAAATCTTTTCATGAAGTTTAGAATCTAAAAGAATAAGATGCATTTAGATATTATGCGTTGTAATAAATGGAAGATCATCTAAAACTCACTTTCAGTTTCTGTTCGAGCGACAAATCGCATGCAGAAAACCTTCGGATATCTTGAAACGAGGTCTGCATCTGAACAACACCGAAAATTATTAAACATATTAGAAGTAATGGATCGGTAACTTTGAAAGAAAAATGATAAAATACCGTAGACGTTAATGTTGAAAATTCGTAACCCATTATAAGACATACGATTGAAAATAAAATGACAATCAGGAGAGTAACGAATCTCATAATAGTGCTTAATTTGGCGAAGATAAATATATAATATGCGAGACTGGTTTCTAATAGAACTGTGAAATATAATATTGCAAATAATAAACTAAATTTTGTGTTGATTTGATTGAGGAAGTTCCAAAATTCGGCATGTTGCACCATTATCTCTTCTAATTTTAAACTTAAATTTGAATTGTTCGTATTAAGTAGAATTAAATCATTTGATACTTTTTGAAACGCTTTCTTCATAATCAAGTATAAAAATAAAACAAAAGATGAAAAATGAATTACTCCTCCAATAATAAAATTGACCGAAACCCCAAATTGCGCGCTACAGAAGAGAATGATAAAATCGTTTTCGTTAGTTATATCAAACGTTGGATATACCAATTTAATATTATAAATTGGTACAATGAAAATGTTACATAACAAGATTATGCGCATGATGACACTAATTTTGTGAATAGACTTGTTTAAATCTTCAATTGGCAAATTATCTGATTTCATTAATATGATTATTGGATTAAGCTTATTGCGTTTTACAATAGAAAAAATGAGCGACAGAGCCAAATATAATATGGTAAAGTAGATCCTGACGAAAATGTTATAATCCACCATTGAATACCAGCCAAAACAAGGTGTGTTTTCTGCTACAGAAGGTATTGTCAAGAGAAGCAGTAAGAAAAAGAATTGCCAATATAGAAATTCCGCAAAGCATAAGAACTTATGCAGTAATTTATTTTTATAACGAAACGGTCGACAATAGTAGCATGGATTGAAAAAGTTACATCCGTAAATTAGTGCAGTGAACATGTGAGGCTGCAACAGACAACTAACACATATTTCGTATCTACGAACCTCAGCCATGGGTAAATTTCGAAACTAGGAATTGATCAACGGAGTGTCTGAAATGGAGAAGTACAGTGAATTGATAACGGATTGTATTAAGTAAAAGTGGAACTGATAGAAAGTATTATTACTTTGTTATTTCGACTATTTTAGTTATTTAGGCAATAATCGCTAAGTATTAATTTCTGCATTCGTATGTATTGTAAAGTAGACGTTTGAAGCACTGTGAAGCTACAGACCGCTTGCTAAACGTTCGTTTTTGTTAGTTTCAGGAATATAGTGGAAACGTTAGTGTGTTGGTGAGGCGATAAAGAATGCAGTAATTTGAGAAAAAGTAAACTACATAAAATGCGCTTTCGCACTTTAGTGCACTTAGATTATTGAATTCTATAGATTTTCCATTATATATTGAAAACTATTTTAAAAGCATCGTAATAAACATCATTATATAAGAGAAACTTTACTCATTTCTATTACAGTAATTGAATTTTATGATGCAGCTTTGTAAAGCAAACTTCTAGAAAATATTTTTGAAGCACCCATAATTGGGTTGCAAAAAAGGCTCTCTTGGTGCCCACAGAGCAAAAAGAGTTAAAAAAAAGTTCATGCAGGTGGATCAAGGCAACAAAAAAATTCTTTCCTTAAGTCTTTATCTTCATTATATTTCATGAAACAAAGTAGAGTAGCATGGTTATTCGTGGCAGTTGATTCGTCATGTTGAATCAGAAAAAGTATTTTTAAACTATTTCATTTAATATATGATTAAAAATAACAACTTTGCATTGCGACAATGTCATAATGAAATGTTTCTCGTTTCTTTTTGGTTTTTTACTACACATTTGGAAGTCAAGATATTTCTTTTTCTAAGTTCTAAACTTGTAGCAGTAGTACTAGGCATACTTTAGACATCATCACTACTTTTCAGTTGAATATTGTTTTTTTTTCTTCTTAATAATAATAAAAGGTAAGAGAAGTTAAAATGTAACTGATTAAATATAAAAATATTGAAAAATAATTAAGTAAAACGTGCTCAATATCAAACAATTTTTCTCTCTCTTTCTTTTCCTATACAAACAACGTCTATTCCATAATCGTTTATAATGGGTGAGTGGGTTCAATGGCTTAACATGCCAGAAAAACGCTTTGCATGATAAAGAATATCGAATTTGATGAAACAATGAAATTAATCTAAAAATATAAAATTACTTGTCCTGACTGACTGACTGACTGACTGACTGACTGGGTGATTCATCATCGCCCAGAGCAAACGGCTGAACCTAAAGAGGTGAAATTTGGTACACAGTTAGGGTACGTCATGAAAACGCACACTAAGAAGAGAGTTTTCGAAATTATCCCCGCGGGGGGAGAGGGAGAGGGATTAAGGCGTAATTGGAAGAACGACTTCTACTGTACTATTTTAGATGCGATTTTTTGTTTTCAACTACGTTTAGTCTTCATTGACTAGTTAGATGTATTAAATTGATAAAAATATTTATAACAATGTCTGAGATGTTATCTATTTGCATTTAAAAAATGTTCGAACCGTTTTAAATTCGAATTTGTTATTGCATATTGGTTCGATTATAGAACGATTGTAAACGTTCCAGAAAATTGATCAAATTGAAAATAGTTCGTTTAATTCTCGGCAATTCTCTTCAGCGGTAGGTGTTATATAACAATTACTATGGTTATTGAAATATTGAATGTAAATGGGGTTTGCTTGCAAAACCTCCGCGGACGAAGTCGCGGGTAACATCTAGTGAAGACATAAAATTGCTTTGTGGATGCATAAAAAGGAAAAAATTGTTTTGTTGGCTTTGCCTACTATTTTCAAATGAAATTAATTAATGCGTGAAATAAAAATGGCTTTGATAATTTAAATAATTGAAGTGAAGCTTGCAAAAGACATGTCGGAAGGCAATTCAATAAAAAGATAGCCCAAGTGTGCTTAGTTATAACTTAATAAAACAAAACAAACAAGCATTTATAGTGCATAGGGAATCTATTAAATCGAATAACAGAGATAATTATGTTAAACTTGTTTATTTATTAAGTACGTCACATAATCATTAAAAATACAGTACATTTAGAGGAGTCTAAGGTTTTTACTGGCTTATCGAACAGAATTCAAAATTATCTTTTTAAACCTTTAGGAAATGTTTTATTGCGAGAAATTAAAAAGGAAATTGAAAAACGCAAAATTTCTTGCTATAATTGTACATGAAACAAGCGACATCATTCAGAAAGATCAGATGTCGACTGTACTTCGTTACATGAAAGAAAACGGTAACGTGGAAGAAAGATTTGTGGGCTTTACTGGCGTGAGTGAGAGTAGAGAACCAAATTCGTTCTTTACTCAGATTGAGTGTTAGATGAATTTCAATACTATAAAAAATTAGTGACACAAACATACGACCGTGCTGCCACAATGGCCGGCCTAATGGTGTTCATTGAAAATTAAAGAAATATCAAAACAATCTATTTTCGTACACTTATGCTCACAGATTGAACCTAGTTTTCCCTCAATCTGTTTATATATAAAAGAATGTAAAGTATTTTTTTAAAACTATACAGGATTTTCTTCATTTTTTTCTAATTCTTCTAAAAAATCTCACGCCTTAAACCTGAAAGTTAAAAAACGTTTTTCTTTAACCACAATTAGACTTTCTTCACACATTAGATGGAATTATAATAGCAAGATAGTGAACTGCGTTATGTATACTAATATTATAAAGAGGTAATGTTTGTATGTATGTATGTATGTAAGTTTGTTTGCAGCAGGTAATCTCCGAAACTACTCATCCAATTTCAAAAATTCTTTCACCAATATTTTGGATGGAACCTCAGGGTGGACATAGGCTGTATATTATTCCGTTAAACATTCATATAAATTAAATGATATCATCTATGGTTAAGGCTTTTATGTCCAACAGATGGCGCTACGAGTACGACGCCCTAAGTTTGCTTTTCTGTGAAAGGGAACTAAAGCGGATCATCTATCTTCTATCTATATAAATAAAAATGTAATGTTCGTTTGTTCCTACCGATTCCTTTGAAATTTTGACACAACGCTGCATTCGAATACGCACGTGTTTTTGTTTAATATACGTGTCGAAATTCCCTCCACTGAAGGGAGATGGTTAGGATTAAGGCTTACGGTAAAGAACTCTGCTTCTATTTATACTATTTTAGATGCGGTTTTTTAAGTTTTTGATTGCGTTTTAATAGGGTACATCAACAGAATGTACACTAAAAAGGGATTTTTCGATATTCCCCCGCGGGGGAGAAAGACAGAATTAAGGCTTATCGCGAAGAACTTGGCTTCTATTATATTATTTTAGATGCGGGATTTTGCATTTTTGATTGCGTTTTAATAGGGTACGTCAACAGCATGTACACTAAGAAGAAATTTTTCGAAAAATTTCCCCCCCACGGGGGAAGTATTATACATTTACAATAGATACATTTTGAGCCACAACAATGCGTGGCGGGGTTTGCTAGTTGTATATACAATCAGTGTAGAATAAGTTAATTTTTTTAAAAAAAAGTTTTTATAAAGAAAGTGTAATAAGAAACATGATGATGCATTTGTTTAATATTACATAACATATACAATAGCACTTCTAAAATATTATCATTTGATTGAAGTTCAAATCATTTCCAATAACATGAGCATATTGCTCATAATGGATTGACTCGGCTATTAAATCATCTATTTGTAAGGAATTTTAAATTGTGAAGGACAAAATATGCAGCATGTAATATACCGATCAATGCATTAAAATATCATTAAAATTGCAGATTCTTTAGAAATAAAAAGATCAAAAGTTTGGAATAGTTTTAGGAATGTAAGTCTAATAACTTACCCTAATGTAAAAGTACATAAAAGCCACTTAAGATACGATTTTCTGTTTTTATAGCTAATTATATTTGCAATGGTTTATTGATGTATTGTTAACTTTATAAAGGAAATTGATAGCCAATACCCAATCAATTGATTTAATTCACTATCCCATTAAAAATTAATCTGGAATATACCATTATTATTATTATTAATGACACTCTTAAAATGTTCAGAGATAATGAGTTTACGTAACCAGAGTTTCTAAGAACAGTTTTATTTCGTTCTGTAAAACCTAGATACGAATACAGACTGAGCATGAGTTCGAATTTACAAGAGGTTTGTCTGAGCTGTTTCATCAGCCCTTGTTGGACAACTGCTCTTATATTTGGGTTGGACGCATTTGAAACTTGTAACTGTAAATGTTCAAAAAAAGACAGAGAATTTCAAAATACGAAATTGAAGAATATCTATATTCGATTTATCGAACTGACTTTACGCGGATTTACAAGTCTTCTCATATGGCATGTAATCCCACTAATCAATGAATATGCGATATGCATTGGTTGGCATGACATATTCGAAAGAAATTCCATGTTATTTAAAATAGTAGTTTCTGTTTTATTTATCATTTATTGTATTGTATTCGAATTTATCAAACGCAACAAATTCAATTTGAATAAGCAATTAAGGAATAAATTCTTTCGAGTAAAAATGATTAACGAAAATAACATCTTAATACAATATGTTACTCTGCTCATTTCTTTTGTTATAATAGTAGCCATTGATTTGCAACAAATTGCGGCCACTGTATTTTTTTACCCTTACATAGAAATGAAGCAAAAATTTCATGGGGAAGCTCTTTTCTGTATTACATTTGCCTCCTTAAATGTAAGTTTTCTTATTGGCGGAATCGGTTACATCTTATTCTTCGTGGCATTGTTAGTGCTGATCTCCCATAAGGAATTTGAGCAATTGTCGAGGAAGCTGCTTTTAATAAAAAAGATCGATTATGATTTACGAGAAAAGCTAAACGAATTAATGATGCATTATGAAGAACTTTGGATTTTCGTGCAACAGTTCAATTCTAAATATAACTTTGTATTTGGATTTGTTTACTTTGGAGTCGTTTGGGTGACAAGTTTTCTATATTATGCGTTTTTGTTCTTAGAACTTCATTATTTCATTAAATTTTTGATACTCTTATTGATGATACTATTCACTTGCATTAGCATAATTGCTGGCTGTATACTGTGCTCTTTAGCTTTTACGGTAATTACACTTTATATGCACTATTAACATATGCTTTAGATAGTTTATAGTTGCTTTTTCTTGTAGATGGAAAATACATTTCAAGATGTCAGACAATTTGCAAGATGTGACATTGGAGAAAATCAAAAGCTAAAGGTATGATGTTTAAATTGCATTTAAACAAATATTTTCCAAATATTGACAATAATTTCAGATTTTGAACTTCATGAAAAGATTTGGAAAAGTCTCTCTCTGTCTCACAATTGGTAGATTTTTGATTATTGACAAGAGAATTCCCCTGAAGGTTGTATTATTTTCGTAATTAATTGCGGTTTTGTAATTATTTACAGATTTTGCGTTTTAATGGAAATAAATTGTGTTAAATTTAACTTTTCAGATGGCAAAAACGTTGCATTCAGTTTTCTCTGGTTTCAAAAAGCTAAAAAGCATTTCGAATGAAGAACAAAACTGTTTAGAGATTTATAAAATTAATTTCACAGAAACGAATTAAACAAAGAAAAAACTTTTGTAGAAATGTGTAGTTTGTATTAAACAGTTTTTCTTGGCAAATCTTTATCGTAAATTAAATGTCTTTCTGTAATTAAATGTATGGCTTAAAATAGTTTAAAATGGCTTAAATTTTTTTTCGAAAATATCGGTAAACAAATTGCTATTTTTTTAGCATTTGATTTTAAAATTACGCTTTCAAATTTATTTTAGCAGTGAGTCAGTGGAAGTGACACTTGCCTTACTTTTAATATAGTGCCGAACGTGTTTATAACGATGATTATAACAAAGTTTAACTCGACAATGTTTTCTGATCAATGTAAGATATTAAAGTATAATTCCTAAAATGTGTTTATACATGTACAGATATAGAAACAGAATATAACAGTAACTTAAAATGTTACAAAAACTCACAAAAATATAGTGTAATTTCTTGGCAGTATAAGATAGAAAAACGCTTGTTGAAACAGATAGTTCAGATTCAGTATAGTGTTATTTATCAAGTGGATAAAAGCAATGAAATCTGGTCGAGAGTTCGCACCTTAACAACAAGCTGGCCAGATGGAGTTATTAGAGGGACAGCATTTTTTAGAAAATAGGGATTACATATATACATACATAAAAAAATTCGAATTATTTCGTACCTTTTCGACGTTTCAACGTGCAGAGTCTAAAAATGTATAAATCTTGAGACAGTCAATTTTTTACCGATCGCCATACTTTCCCTCTGTAATATATAATAGATCCGGCGAAGTAAACATTAAACTATCAATCGGGAACATTGCAGTGTTTACATATACAACTGTTTTTAATATCACAATAAGCTTTTCAAATCGATTTTTGAAATAATTTCTTGTTTTAAAAGATTAAGTACATAATCGACGTTTCAACGTGCAGAGTCTAAAAATGTATAAATCTTGAGACAGTCAATTTTTTACCGATCGCCATACTTTCCCTCTGTAATATATAATAGATCCGGCGAAGTAAACATTAAACTATCAATCGGGAACATTGCAGTGTTTACATATACAACTGTTTTTAATATCACAATAAGCTTTTCAAATCGATTTTTGAAATAATTTCTTGTTTTAAAAGATTAAGTACATAAAAAGCAAAAACGAATAATATTATAAGATTAATTAAAAATTGTTTTAAAAAGAAAAATAAAACTGCCGAAAAAATACGTAAGATTTTCAATACTCAATACTTATTTTCCTGCTAATAACAATATTAAAGAAGTTGGCAAGAACTTCTTTAATATTAGATAAGAAACGCTCTTTATTCTAAAGTTTTCTTATTCAAAAGAACATTAGGGAACTTACATGGATTGTGAGAAGTGCAGAAGTTGTGACATTAGATAAAATACGGATGGTGATTATTGATTAACAAGTATAGGGTACTGCAATGATTAAAATTAAAATGATTTACTAAAGGGAGCGTTTAACATAAACGTAAAAATTTTTTGAACTAAAGTGAACATGACGGCCTGGTACATAGTGTTGGAAAAAACATCCCAGTATAAACAACACAATGTTGAGTTAATATTAAAAAAATTATTAAAAATTTTCTTAATATTTCCTAATGTTCTTTTACACTTTTGTAACTTTATAGTAAAATTTTATTAACTTGTATAAATTATGCTGATTTTCCCTGTATAGTTGTAACGAAAGAGTTGAAAAGGGATATAATTATCCGAAATGCATACTCAAATAAATAAAAAGTCTTTCTAAAGTTTGTCCTCTGTTTCATTGATAATGTAATAAGTCTAGCGGAAATGAAAAAGCCATTTTAGCGCTCGTATATCTGAAAAATAATTAAGTTTATTAAAAGTAACTTATCCGTAAATTTGAAAGAAAAACGATATCATACTGGAGATGAAAGTGTTGAACATGCGTAATCTAAAGTGGATAGATCAATATATCTGTAATCGCTCTTATTCACTGAAACTGCAACAGCTGAATATCATTATAATTTTGTTTTCTTTTAATTTTTTCAATTTTATATAAAGTACTTTTAACAATTACGCTGAGCAGCAGCATCTAAATAATGTCGTTCTGTATTTTCAGTAAGCAGTATATTTCAGGAAGGTAGTTTTATTACCTCTGGAATTAGCGCATTATTAAATCACCGTTGTTAATTGTTTATTGGATAGTGAATAAATTAATTCGAATAAAAATGTATGCTATTATAAATGTGTTTGATGATATTAATAATAATTATTATGATAAATTATTCATTTATGATTATTAGAAGTTCTTTATTATGGATTATTCAATAATGCAATCGCATAGGAAAGTAATTAGTGTACTTCAGCATGAGGAATTTTAATTGAAAACTAATTTCTTTCATATGGTCTTTCGTTATATATTTGCTAATGGTATGTACGAACATTATTTATTGCTAATCGATATATATATTACTGTAGATTTTCGATATTGGAACTTCCTTAAATCGAAAACGTTTTGCTTTATTTTGTGTTTTTAAGAAAACCAATGATATCATATTATAAAATTGATGTTCGGCATGTTATGCATGACCTAATTCTTAAAGATGGGAATCCCAGACGAACTCTAGCAATATTGAAGTCAAGAATGAAAGGAAGGTTTTGATAAACGTAAGGTGTATCTTATTAGCGAGGTTGAGGCCGAAGTTTTAAACGCGAAAACGTGTACGTCGGACGTTCAGCGCGCTTTCCTAAAAGCCGAGAAGTTTGACAATGGTTATTTTTTACAGATACCATTTATTAGAAGTATTTTCAAGCAGGTGATTACGAAAACTGGCTACAAATGAGAATGATGATGTACCATTCTGAAATCGAAAGCAGTTACCACATTGAATTTCAATAAATTTAAAAAATTGAATCAGGACACAAAACTTAGCATGAACGGAAAAAGAATTGAACAGATTTTTTGTTGATGAAATGTCAGAAAAGAATGTAGCAACGAGTTCTATCTTTTATTAGATTTTATTTTAAAAATAACTTTTGTATTATTAATAAGAAACTAAATATAATTTTACGTGACGCTATCTGTTATATGTTTTATGTTTTTGCTATAAAAATTTTATATATTTTAAATTATTATAAAATAGCCAAAAAAATTGAGGGTAGAGATGACTTTTATAAACAATGTAAATATTAACAAGTAAAATTTTCATTGCCGACCCCACTTGACATATAACACGTGACAACTCTATATCTGTCTATTTCCTTAATTCTTTACAACGAAAATTTAATAGCATCAATGCCTTTCATAAAGAAGATACCGTGGCAACTTTGGTTATTAATATTAATCCAATCCCAAGACAATAAACAAAATAGTCGCAAAACAACACACACACACACATACACATCCATGGAAATTTTTGTTTTTTTTTTTTTTGTTTTTTTTTCGGTTTGACAGTTTTTAAATCGTGAAGATTTGCAAGAGACTCGGAGTGTTAACTTCGACACGATTTCAATAATTTCCCTTTTTATCTATATCTATATCTATATATCTATAAATATATTTATATATATATAAATGGACATGTATGTCCCTATATTTCACTTTTTCGCCAAAACTACACATCGCACGTGAATGGTGTTTGTATGTGGTGGTAGCCCCAAGTCTCCATTCGTGCATAGGGGTGGTTGCGTCTCGATAGCTATAAGGGTGCGGGAGATATGGGGCTGAAAGTGGTTGAAAGTGGTTTTCTATTTCGAATTTTATGTTCAAATTTGTTCGAATTTAATTCGAACATAAAATTCGAATATTGGTTCGATTATAGAACGATTGTAAACGTTCCAGAAACGTTGAAAATAGTTCGTTTGACTGGACGTAAACAGGAGACGTTCAGAAATAGAATCGGGACCAGATCTCTAGTCTTGAAACGGGGGACCTAATTCTTGCATTCTGTGAAAACAAGTAATATTGTTTATAATGTAATTATCTTAATCTTCACTATCGTTACTTTTTGTCCACCGAAGCGGGTTCTTGCAGCTTCTGAAGTATAAACAAGAATTAAAACTTTTGTATTTATATTCGTGTCTAGACTATATTGACAAGTCACTCTTAGACAAAAAGTATTATAATTATTCACGATCCGAACAAAGATGCACTAAAAGAATTATATATTAAATTATCATTAATTTTTACGGTATTATCTACCAGTGCGTGTGTTGAGCGCAGTTTTTCAACCACGAAGTGTATTGATATACTGAAAACGAACATTTAGATGTAAGATTGTGGTCACTGGCGTTGTTTTTAATCGAAAAAGAGCTTTAAAATACTTTGATGAAATCAACGACAAGCGATTTTTATGATAAAGTAATTAAAGACTTTGCGGAAAAAATTTCCGAATACAGTTAGTTTATAAAGAATAAAAACAAGTTCTTATATCTGGTTCATGTTAATGTATCTATTTTAGAATTAAAATAAATAAAGTGTTTATTTTTGTCGTTACCAGCATTAAAATTTTATAGAAACATAGCTTCCCTGTCATCAAATGTCACTGCACATCATGCAAAAATATACCGTGTGTATATAATATATAAATATTTTATGTTAAATGAATGATGCTGGAAAATAATTTGCAAAAATACGCCCTATATGTCAACACAGATCCTAACTGTGGGAGATCCGGGGTGGAATCGAAAATAGTAACACTAAAAAATTTTTGAGATAATTTGTTTCGTATGCTTTGAGAATTCGTATGCTTCGTATGCTCTTATGACTTAACCATTGTAAATCAGACCAAATAGACGATTAATATAAGATGAAAGGCCCTCTTATTGTTTTCAGGACGAAGACTCAAAAGTCATACATATCGGATTTAGAAATCTTTAGACGGAGAGCAGAAAAAAAAAAATATGTCTTACTAGCAGACCCTGCCACGCGTTGTTGTGGCTCAATATGTATCTATTATAAATTTATAACACTTCCCCCGTGGGGGGGCGAATTTGTCGAAAAATTTCTTCTTAGTGTACATTCTGTTGATGTACCCTATTAAAACGCAATCAAAACGCAAAAACCCGCATCTAAAATGGTATAATAGAAGTCAAGTTCTTCACGGTAAGCCTTAATCCTGTGTCTCTCCCCCGAGGGGGGATATTGAAAAATTACTTCTTAGTGTACATTCTGTTGATGTACCCTATTAAAACGCAATCAAAAACGCA